CTGGCCTCAGTTCTAAAGTTAAATTAACACTGTTTTTTTGGGTTACTTTTCTGTTTGTGCACCCCTGTCATAAATGAAGCCACTTAGCTGTGGAAAATGGTGGTGGGTCTGAAAATATGGCAACCATCAGAAAAACAATTCCACTGATAGCAGTGATGTAGCTCATCCCTCCTGTGGGAGGAAATCTCTGCCAGGACTGCCCCCTGCCATGGCTGGCCCAAAACCCCAAGTAGAATTATGAAGAATAGATAATATCACCACAGGCTGTATTTTATTTCTCAAGTAATGTCCACAGGAACAGAGAAGTGATTATGTGCACTCATCCCTGCCTCTGTCCTGTCCCCAGTCTGCTCAGTCTCAACCCCCTCCCACAGCACCAAACCTGGACCATGTGGGTGAACTTCAGATGTTGTAACAGCTTAAAGGAACGAGGAGGGAGGAGGAAGTATCAGTGACCTTCATTATGTTGGTTATTGTCACAGCTGAAAATACTGCAGGGAGGTGGTCCCTTCTCAAGAGAGGATAATTTGTTAATTAAGGTTTAGCTTGCACTCATTGGACAGCCACCATCTGGCTTTAATAATTCAGAATGAAATACTGAAGTTTGGGCTCATTTTATTCAGCACTTACTGAAGTCAATATTCCATTAATGTCAGTGAGGGGTTTCCCTGAGTCAGGATTTGTCCCTCTTTTTGAAGTCAGTATTAGGGCAGCTCAGGTGAGTAAGGGGTGTAGGAAAGGGCCTTTACAGATTTATACTGCAACAACATTGATAATTTAATTTACATCTTGTAAAATCTGAATGTTGTGGTTGAAGACATTTTTGTTTTCAATGATGTAGTCCAGAGATAAGACTTTAATGCAAAAGGTTTTATATTAGTACACAGGAAAGTAGAGTATTTGAATGTTGTTTTCATCTAATCACTACTGGGCAGGTAAATTAATTTTTTTAAAAACACAGACTCTCGCTGCTACAATACACTTCATAGTTTGTGTAAAAAAAATCTATAGACTGCTCACTCTCTGTCTAGATATAAAGGATGGAGTGGCTGCATTACTTTCACAAGAGGCAGAGCTATGAATGAGCTATGCATGTCATCCAAATAAGTGCTGGTATACACCACTCTGCAACATCATGGATTTCACATATGCTACATGTATTAGATTAATTGTTTGAAAAATATTTTAGAGACTAAGAAAAAAACAACCTAGAATAATAATAATTTTTTTACTCCTCCACCTGTACAGCAAATTCCCTCAGCCCTATGAGTCAAACAGTACAGGTCTTGGAGGGAGAGAATAAAAATATATAAATACATTCAAAATATCTCTATGAATTATGTAAAATGTTTTTTTTTTAAAAAATACATAACAATGTCATGGTTTTAAATTCTGATATCTCAAACCTTCTATGAGTATGTTTAATTGTAATGCTGAATATAAAGTTTATATTCTTAGTCCTGATTCACTATTAGATATCCGATTTTTAAGGTGAGGTTTTGCTTAGAAAAGTGCACATTAAAAAATGATGCAATCTCACTCAACCACTTCTCAAAGGGGCAGATCCTCAACTGATATAAATTTTCATAGTTTCATTGAATGGAGTTATGACCATTTATATCAGCTGAGGATCTCTCCCCCTCCCCAGGTGTAGTCAGAATAATACCCTTCCTACTTTACAGATTCAAATACATATTTACTATTTTTTTCTGCTGGTGCAAGCTCTATGCAATTCTGAGATCATGCGCTACATTCCCCTTTTGATCATTCCTCATTCACAGCATTAAATAAGCCTCAGCTGCAGATTTTTTTTATCATTAGTGCTGAGTGAGTCAGAAAGAACGCTATTGACTTTTTGATCCCAAAAACTTAACTGTGAGTTAAAAGAACCATCTTTATACTTACAAACTGAACACGCTTGAACAGGAAATCAACGAGAAACAATAAACAGGCAGCCATACAAATTACAGAGTCACACTTCTAAAGAGAACTTGTTACTTGGTTGAGGACTGAATATTTGACTGTCCAGGGACTCCAGGCCATTATAATTTTGCAGGAGAAATGCCACATTAGAAAGATAGGGAGATGGGGGAGGGGAGGGCAGATTTCTCTGGCAGGTTGTTTTCTTAAAAAGGTGGTTTGAAGCTGCTCAGATTTTTGGAATGTCAGAAGCAGTCCCAGCAGAGGAAATTAATAGCCAGAGTGTAGTGAGGCAGCAAAATTCATTGTGTGTTATATCTGTATCTAATATATGAACATGCACATTCATTCTGCCTTCAGATGTGCAAATATAGCTTCCATGAAATACAAAGCCATTGTTTTCAGTTACACACTATTGATGACAAAATTATGGAATTTGGCTATTCGTCTGTTTTTGTTATTTATTCAAAGTAAAAGTTACATGAGTTAGTAATGTATTAGAATAACAATTGCCCAGTTATTTTTAACTTTTATTGAGCTTTACAATTGTACAGATCTGGAAACAATAGAGTATAGAAACATCAAGTGCAGAAGATACAATATTCAGATGTAGTAGCAATCTGTGTTAAACAGCTGAAGAAGCACCAGTGCTCTCACAGGACAATTCCTGTAATGGATTCATACAGTTACAAACCAAGGTTTTCCTCACATCACAGGATGAGCTTTAGAAAATGTAAGCAAACACACAGGGTGAATTTGGTCCAATATGTCTAATGGGGAAATGTCAAGTAATAGCAATAATAGAGAATAACCTCTATAGTGAGCACCAGTTATCAGCCTTCAGAAACCGTGATACAAGGTGAAGATCTATCCCCCCTCCCGATGTGTAGTCAGAATAATACCCTCTCTACTTTACTGATTACAATAAGTGTTTACTTTTTTTCCTACTTACACTCCACATAGGTGGGCGAGGGGAGATGGTGTGCAAGGAGCCTGAGCAGCCACACCGGGGTGCCTGCAAATTGTAGCCAACCACATTGCAACGAGCATAGGATCACCACAGCCATGTTAGGTGATGGCTTTTCATTTGAAAAAAAATGCCTGTGTTAAGAAAAGAATATGAAAACAAAGTGCAGCTTTTAAAGCCTCAGACAAAGCAGCAGGGACTCTTTCAAAAATGGGTTGAAAGTGAATTCCAGAGCTGCTTTGAAAGCTTTAAAGCATTAGGAAACCAAATAGCTGAACCAAACAAAATTTGTATGCATCTGCAAATCCCACATTTCTGTATGGAAACCAGTGCTCACACACACTAAATGTACTCGTTACTAAACTGCTTCTTTGAACACCTGCAGTTATGAGAAGACATATTTAAATTGAAGTGATCTTTTTTTAAACTTCAAAACTAGATGCAGTTCTTGCCTGTGGCCATGATTTTGGACTATGTGGAATCCCTGTGGTCATGACTGAAGCTTGAAGTTAAAATGCCTCTGAGGATAGACAGCACTCTCCGAAGTCTTTTAACATGGTTTCTAAGCTTTTTATGCTTTCTATCCAGCCACAAATGACATGCTACTCAGCAGGGTGATTCCAAACTGGTGGCTAAGAACAAAACTTTGTGGGGCTTTTTGCATTCCTGTGGGATGAAATCTAATGGCCCCTAAAATTTATATAAATCATAAAATATGATGGGATTATATGAAGGGGGGAGTGGTTATTTATGTCATATAATTAATCAGGAAATTAATAATTTCTGGAGTGACTCATTTTATATTTTAATATTTATATCCTTTTTGTAGAGTGCACAGCACATCTTTTTTGTAGAGTGCACAGCTATCAGGGCTAGAGAAAAGAGCTCCCTCTTTATTTAGCCTGATCTTCCATTATAAGTGGTTTTCTAACTCCTTCCTTAACAGCTAGGACACTGCCCTGGTATGCTAGCCATGTATGCATCAATATAAAATGGTGTTAGATTATGGATATAGATAATTTTAGGGGTCATAGATAGAGAGGAACCTTTCTCCAACTTGCCCTTGCTTTTGTGGCATTCAGTCACTCAATATTGCTTTAATTAAGTATGCTTATTATTATAGTAATATTGCTCTTGCTATGTCAGGGTCATTTGAAAATTCAGAAGAGATCCACAGACTCTATGATCTTGTTCACCCTGCCCCATCCAAGTTCCCCATTTACTGACCATAATATTCTACTGTGCAATTTCCATAGTCATTTCATTCTTGGAGGCATTTTCCTTAATATTCATTATTTATGGTTTTTAGTGGTTGCAACTGTGTTATCCCAGATCAAATGCCACGTCTATATATAAAGCACATAGATTTTTTTAAACTGAATAATTCTTACAACTTTTCAATGAAAGTCAGTCTATAATGTTGCTTACAAAAATAGCAGTTTACAAGATGGGTGTCCCAGTGTGAAAAAGAAAGGTGCGCTTTGGATGTTGAAGTGTTGAATGACAACAGTGAAGACATTTGTTAGGGGATGCTAGTGAATCATTTAGTGAAAGTAAGGGTAATAACACTGACCTTCCCAAAGATCCAAACAAGCCTCACTTACTGCTATGGTACCTACAATCAAATAGAGGAAGTGATGCGATTAAAAATATTTCAATCACAGATCTGGTCTGCACCTTTCCCCAATGGGCTGGTTATGTTTATTGTAAACCCAGTTTAGATTAATATTCTTTCTTACACCAGTAATCCCATTGACATGAAGGTCTATTTACCTGAGTACAGGATTGAGACCCACATCTCTACCATTATGTATGAGCTTCAAAATATACAACCAAACCACATGTATTGACTGTGCCTATTTATGACAGCCTGGTTCACTATATTTGCTTTAGCATTAAAGAATGCTAAAAGTGTCCTAATGTATTGGTACTATATTTTGAGATTTGTATATACTTTGCTTGCCAGTTTTCTTGCTTGTTATAACTTTCAATGAATTTTAACATTGGTCCAGCCAGTCTCTCTCTCTCTCTCTCTCTCTCTCCTTTCTCTCTGTGAGGTTCACATGTTGACTGATTTAAATATTCCATAATGACTGTTTGGCATATCCTACAGGCAAAGGTCCAGAAACCCTTTTTGCTGGCTATAACCTCAATGATAATGAGTGGCACACGGTACGTGTGGTTCGTCGAGGAAAAAGTTTAAAGTTAATGGTGGATGACCAACAAGCTATGACAGGTAGTGTGCAGTTATATTTCATCTTACTGGGGGAAATAAGACAAAACATAACAAAAATTGTAGAAATAAAGGCTCTTATTCAAAGCCCATTAAAGTTAATGGGAGTGTTTCTCCTGATTTTAATAGACATTGGATAGGATCCAAAATGCATGCTGTGCAACAATTAATGACCATCACAAGATACAACCAGAAAATCATCACAATTCACACTAGCTTCGCTTTAGGGCTAGATCAACTCACACTGAAGTCAATTGGAATTTTTCTGCTGACCTCAGTGGATGTTTGATAGGGCCCTGAGGGGAGTTCTGAGGGATTTATCCAATGATAGAAGATAATCAAAATGCCCTCTGCACCAATCATATCCAATTTAAACTGCAATTAAATGCCAGGCCCTTTGCACTGGAATGAATTTCACAGATGTTTCCAATTGTTGGGCACAATTTTCCCCCCTAACTTTTAATAAGTCTTGCATTACCCGGCTTAAATAAATACATATTAGGCCATAATATTATCTTTTGTGTCAAAATGGTAATATATAGTCATCAAGAAATGTGAAAGTTAGAAGGTGCTGCAAACACTTTAGCACAAACAATACCGGGTACATTAGGTGATATTAGAGAGGACTTTTATTTGACCTTTCATCCTAAAAATACTGTTAAAGAACATTAGTATAAAAGTACATTCTCTAGAATTAAACAATACCAGAGGTGGTCTACTGAAGGTGGAGCAGAATTTTACTCAGTATATGTAATTCATTTTGTGATGATCTCCTAAGAAAGGAGGTTGCTTAAAAAAGGGTGGATTAATTGGTTTGAAATGAATAAAAATGGCACTGGAGTTTTACTATGATTGTGCATTTCTTTAATCTGGCAGCTAAGACCATAGAGTTTATTGTGTGACCTTTTTTTTTTTTTTTTTTTTTTTAAAGAATTTTTTTTTTAATTTATAAAAAATGTTATTTATAAAATTCCCATTTTTTTTTTCTATTCTCCTAATTGCCAAGTTTTAATTTAAACATCATCTAGATTACAAAACTACCAGGAAGGTCTGTTTTTCTCTGAAATCTCTTGCCAGCTGTTCAGAATGGCTTCAGCAAAAGGTCAGCATTTAATTGAAGGCAACAGTAAAGATTTTTAGGATACTAGAATTATAGTGTTTCTTAAATTCTGTTAAAGTGATTACAATTAAATGGGGGGAAAAATGACTAAATAAACCTATGTTCATGTGCCATTAAGGCTGTGAAGTTCTGGTCTTGAAATTTCTGTGACACTGATTTAATATGGATAAATCCAATTACGATTAGATATCAGGGTTATGGTCAAAGATCCATGAAAGTCAATAAGCATCTTTTCATTGACTTTAGTGGGCTTTGGCTCCAGCCCTACGGTTGCTTGACAGATTAGATTTCCAGGGCTATCATTTCTCCAAAATGCCTCACATTCTGGTATTTTAAATGGAAAACTATTTATTTAAATCTGTGCTGGTGATATAACATTTTATTTTAAAATTTAAGGCAGACCCTGATTTCTGTTACACTGAGCTACATCAGATATTGCCCTGAAGGGAAATTAGGCTCAATCCTGCCAATTGAAAGTTGACTGACAGTTGTAAAATCTGAAAACATTTAATTTTCTCTTTCAAAATAATGGGACAAGTGTGTCTCCCTTTGTGAAGGGAAGAAATCCTCCTAACATTGTCTCCTTGTGCAGTCGGTGGGAAGGCATTGAAGAACACTTGAAAGATGTTGGGGCTGCCATTTACACTGAGCCTGATAGTCTGTGGGATCTCTGTCCCCACTTCAATGAGCGTTAGGCTTTCTGCATGTAGAACCTGCACTGCCATGCTGTGGCATGGCCTCTTCTCTTTCCTGCAGCACAGATCACTCCAGCACATGCTGCCAAAGGGTCACCTACTACAATGGCATACTGTCACCCTTTTCCAATAGGGAGTCAAAGGTGCAGAATACAAATTAGCACTGCTCTGAACATCCTAAACTCAGGTGTTTTGCCGTGCAGAGTTGCTGCTGTTCCCGAGCTCTAAAATCTTTAGGACATGTCTTCAGATTTCCCAGTGGGCAGGGGTTTTTCATGTGGAAGCATTCTAAAGGTTACATGTGGGCTCAAGCTCCTCATGAGCCCTGGCTTTCCTCTTTGAAAAAAAGTTCCACTCTCTCCCAATAGTGTCTCCATTGTTTTCATCCCATTCCTATGCCACATTGAAGGAAGGATTCATAGAGTTTAAGGCCAGAAGGGACCATTAGATCATCTAGTCTGACCTTCTGTATATCACAGGCCACTAACTTCCATCCAGCTACTCCAGGATTGAGCCCAGTAACTTGTGGTTGGCTAAAGCATAACTTCTAGAAATAGGGTTACCATATTTCAGCACGGAAAAAAGAGGACGGGAGGAGCCCCGCCCCCGTTCTGCCCTAGCCCCGCCCCCGTCCTGCCCTAGCCCCGCCCCTTCCACTCCCCACCCCGCTCAGAACCCCAACCCTCCCCCTGCTCCTTGTTCCCTGACTGCCCCCTCCTGGGACCCCTGCCCCTAACTGCCCCCCAGGACTCCACCCCCTACCTAAGCCTCCCTGCTCCTTGTTCCCTGATTGCCCCCTCCTGAGACCCTCCCCCCATCCTAATTTGCCCCCTAGGACTCTACCCCCTACCTGTCCCCTGACTGCCCCAACCCTTATCCACACCCCCACCCCCAGACAGACCCCCGGGACTCCCACGCCCCATCCAACCACTCCCCACCCCCTGACAGCCCCCCCCAGAACTCCCGACCCATCTAAACCCTTCTGCTCCCTGTCCCCTGACTGCTCCAATCCCTCTCCCC